CACCTTCTCTGCCCTAGGAGCTTGGGATGGCAGTGGGGGAGCTTCCTTCTGGGTGCTGGGTCCCACTCAGCTTCTCTGCCCTAGAAGCTTGGGATGGCGGTGGGGGAGCTTCCTTCCAGGTGCTGGGACCAGCTGAGCTTCACTGCCCTAGGAGCCTGGGATGGAGGCGGGGAGCTTCCTTCTGGGTGCTGGGACCAGCTGAGCTTCACTGCCCTAGGAGCCTGGGATGGAGGCGAGGAGCTTCCTTCCGGGTGCTGGGACTGGCTGAGCTTCACTGCCCCCATCAATGAATTTTTTAACAACAGTTTTAATGCTGAGCTCATAGGTGAAGAAGAGTAACAGCTAAGAATTTTTGTGACCCAAGATTCACAGTGAATACTGAAATGACTGACAAATTCAGAACAAAATAGAACTCAATTTACTATCATGGCAAAATTATTAGCTAAATAAAAATTTGAAAATAATTTCAAATGAGGACTTAATGTATAAGTCCTTAACTGCTCTAAGACCCTTTTGATGAATTACACCTGCCTCTCAGGCCAAAAAAAACCTGAGTCAGAAAAAAGATACCTGGTTTGTGTCAAGCACAAAAATTAAAAGATTAATAAATATTCCTAGAACTTCTATTCAACCTAACACTAAGATGGAAGAATCAATGAGGTGACCCCAGTGGGAACTTACCATGCAGGCACTCCTCCTCCCATCCTCAGTCTTCTCCTGTTTCACAGCTCCTGAAAAACTACAGATCTCATCCTCAGTCCCAGGTTCTTGCTTGACTTTCACTTGATCAGATTTGAAACTAAGACCTGTCTTCTCAGCAGTTCTTCCTGATGACCCACAACTAATGAAAAACAAATAAAAGGTATGGTATAAAAAACAAATTAAGAGTACTGTCTGTTACAGAGGAGACAACAATTACTTCATAGAAGGTAAGGATATTTCACAATGCCTAAGTGGTAAAAGCCTAGTTTCAAATCTCTTTTAAAATGTAAATCAAACATTCAGAAGACCCTAGAAATAAAGTTATGGTCTGAGGCACTTATAATAAATCATTTAAGAGTTCAGTAAACAATCATTTCCCCAGGCCAATACAGGTGGAGTACTTTCATCTGAACTGCTTGGCATCAGAACTGTTTCAGTATCAGATTTTTTTGGCTTCTGAAATACAGTGCTACCTCAGTTCACGAATGCTTTTGTTTGCAATCTCTGCATTGGGTGACAAACATGACCACAGCCACCTTTCCCACACAAACACGAACGTGGTCATCTTTTCCAGAATTCATGAACCAAGGTACCACTGTATTGGCATATACACGATGAAACATCTTGGGGATGGGACTCAAGTCTAAACATGAAATTCATTTCTGCTTATTATACATCTTACACATATAGTCTTTTTTCTTTTTTCTTTTTTACACATATAGTCTTGAAGGCAATTTTACATAATATTTTCAGTGTACCCTGAATTTTACTCAGGCCTACCACAAGAGGTCAGGTACAACTGAAATGTTCCACTTTGGGCATCAATTTGGCATTCAATGTTTTGGATTTTGGAGCATTTCATTTTTTCAGACTAAGGATGTTCAGCCTACAGTATAAAATGTCACTGACTGCTTCTCTTACTAATTTCAATTCTTCTCAACCTCCTCAAAGATCTAAAAAAATACCATACATCTATAATAGTGGTTCATGGAATCTCAAATAAGGAAAGGTTATTTTAGCTTTTGGAAGAAGGGGATTGAAAGCAGAGGATAATGATTAGTAGCAAACAACCTGAAACACCTTTCTTTTTTTTTTTTTTGATACCAGGGATCGAACTCAGGTCCTTCCACTTGCAGGGCAGGTGGTGAAACCACTGAGCTCAATCCCCGGCCCCAACCTGAAATACCTTATTTGTATCAATGTAATGAGTGGCAAGAAGACAAGATTGTTCACTTCTATCCAGAGCACTCAGCAAAATTACTGTAAGACAAGTGAATAACTAGCAAGGCTGTACTGCTACCGAGAATGAACATTCTTTTCATTCAGGTGGTATTTCTCTTCTAGAAGTATTATTTAAAGCATTACTAAAAAGCCAATCAAGTATTTACTTGGAGCAATCTTCACCCGCCACACAGAACACTCATGTAACAACTTAAATACTTGTATTCTGTATTGAATTATTCAAAGTAGGAAACAGTAAAACACGAGCAATGCTTATAGTATTTTATCTTAAAAAGCACATATTCCTATGTCTTAGCTCTATCACTAAAAAGAAAAAAGTCAACAATCTAGGGCAGTGAGTAACTAACTACAGTATTTAGAATACTGTCTGCAAACACTATTTTCCCACTAATATGACCAAGATTTCTTGGGAAATGGCAAATTCCAGAACAGAGGCAAAGAATCATACAAGATGAAACTGGTATCATTTCACAGCAAACAAGGAGGCTTTCAAAGACTACTAGAATTATAGTAAAAGGACTAAAGAGCAAGCCTAAAAAACCTGACAGGCCATAAATTGAATAATTTAAGACACCAATAAAAATCATAACCTAATGAATTAAAACATAAAAATGTTTATATATGATTTCATAAATGCAATACAAAAACTCAGTGGTCACTCTTGGAGGGTACTGGTAATCAAGTCATTATCCTGAAAGCAAATATTTACTTTGCTTTTCCTATATTCCAATAACTGATGACAAAGTTTCTCCTTACAGAAGCATTCTAAACTAATAAGCAAGGAATAATACAACAATTAAAATAACACTTTTTAAACACAATTTCAATAAAGAAATTAATGGTGGCTACCACAAAACAAAAAACCCTAACCAGATACTATACGTTGATGAAAGTACAGAGTACTACCGTGAAGTGTTCTTGTCCTCTCTTCCCTCACATCCAACCTGAATTTGATAAAACTTTCTGATTTTTTTTTGGTACCGGAGATCAAACTCGGGACCTTGCGCTTGCGAGGCAGGTGGCAGCACCACTAAGCTAAATCCCTGGCCCCTAAAACTTTCTGATTTAACTGCCAGCACAGACAAAATGTGGGAGGCAGGGTATTTCAATGACAAAACAGAGAAAGAGAAAACGAAAGGACAAACAACATACAATGATGTTGATGTAAACACATCAGTTGATACCAATGTATCTTTTTTTTGGTACCGGGGATCAAACTCGGGTCCTTATGCTTTCAAGACAGGAGGCATAACCACTGAGCTAAATCCTCAGCCCAGTTGATACCAATGTAAAGAGCATATTTAAATCTGATTCAAAGAAATTTCTAGCCAGTTGTGGTAGCACACACTTGTACTCTAGCACTCTGGAAGGCTGAGGAAGGAGGATCTCAAGTTTGAGCCCAGTCTAGGCAACCTAGAGATCCAGTTTCAAAATTTTAAAAAATGGGGGGCCCCTGGGGATATAGCTCAATGCAAAGGCTGTGCATTCAATCCCCAGTAACACACACACACATACACACAAAACCCAACAACAACAACAACAAAATAAACCCCAAACATTTACCCCCCAAAAGGGGCACTTACAGCACAAACAATTGGAAGCCTTGAATATTAACTGGATCCATATTGATATTAAAGAATTAGCTGTTCAATTATTTTATGTATGATAACAATTCTGTGATAAATTTTTAAATTTCTTATTGCTGCTAGGTATGGTGATACACACCTGTAATCACAGCTACTTGGGAGGCTGAGGCAGGAGGAGGATTACAAGTTTCAGGCCAGCCTGGGCAATTTAATGATAACCTGCCTCAAAATAAAAAAATAAATAAAAGAGCTGGAGATGTAGCTCAGTAGCAGAGTGCCTGCCTAGCACATGCAAGGTCCTTGGTTCATTTCCCAGTACAAAAACAAAAACAAAAATAAAAACAGAAACAAACTAACAAAAAACCAAAAAACAGAACAGTAAGTGATACTGAAATAGTCACAAATAAAATGACATGATGTCTGAGACTTGTTTCAAAATAACAGATCAAGAGGAAGAAGGAACAGACCAAGAAAGTAAATAGAAGAAATAATGGCCATAACTTCATCATTCTTGAAACAAGGTAAAAGTACACAGAGTTGGGCCGGGGATTTAGCTCAGTGGTTCCAGTGCCTGCCTCGAAAGCGCAAGGTCCTGAGTTCGATCCCCAGTACCAAAAAAAAGTACACACAGATTGTAGGGTCTACTTTTATTAAATAAAAGTTTTTCTTAAGAAAATAATACTTTTAATAGCATAATACTTACCTGCCTCTACTGCCAGTACTGGAAGTACTAGGGGGTCTCACAGGTGTGTGAGAGTTGGATAAACCTAAAAAATAATAAGACTTAACTAAGTACCAATGCATGTTAGGAATGTTCAGAATTCAAGACTACTATAACCCAATTCAGAAATTCCTGGACATCGCAGCCCAGACAACTTAGAATCCTCCACAGAACAATACAATTCAGTCAACAAAACTACCAGATCTAGAGAGAGTGGTGGTCCCTCGAGTCATGTGACAAACTATTCTACTTAGATTCTCATTATTCTTTTTAGAAGTCCTGTAATAATTCTTACTAAGCCTCAAGAGTTATGTAATTCAAAAGCATGTTGAATTTTTAAGTCAGTAGACTGAGGTAAATCTATTATCCTCCAAAGTGTCAGTGGCCTCATTCAACCAGGTGAAGACCTGAAGACCTTGAGAAGCTGGAGCTGTTCCTACCCCTCTCCTGCAGGAATTTTACCACCAGACTTTGGACTCAAGACTGTAATGTAATTCTTCCCTGGGCCTCCTGTCTGCGAACTTACATGTAAATCTGGGACTTGAGTACCCACAATAATATAACCATGTGAACCAATTCTTTGAGATAAATCAATCTGTTTCTACACATGCACATACACCCCTCCGCATACCTCCCTCTTGCTCCATACCTCCCTCTTGCTCGTTGCTTCTGTTTTTCTAGAGAACCCTGAATAACAGAAGATATTAACAAGCTTTTTTTAAAAAGTGGTGAAGAAATAGGCAATATCCTGGTCTGCTTTTACCTGATGATCCTGGAGAAAGGGCAGAGGGTCCTGGGGAAGGATTCATGGTGCTTGTAGGCTGTGGGGGTAGATGACTGCCTGAGATGTATCTACTTAGTAGATTATCTAAACTACTTGAGCCAGCATCTTCCAACTGAAGAGAAAGAAGGTAAAGACAAATATGCTTTGATTAAAGCAGAAGTTATTAAGTTCATTAGTGTTTGTGTTTATATTCACAATTTCCTAATAAACTACTAGATTACTCAACATCAAGTTCAACCTAACTGTTGTCTCTTTAAGCTCCTCTGAGAACTCATGCAGTACAGTTTATGTGACTAAAACTATATATTATACAACTGCTCAAAGAAAAGCCCAATGACCCACTAAATCCTATATTCCACTCTGAAATAGTTCTGATATACTGATAATTTTGCATTTTCTCAAATCACTACAGGACTCTACCAATATCCTTTGTCCCCAGACTCCCTCTACTTCAATGTCTACAGTCCTGCCAGAATCTCTTACCCTAAGGAAATACAATCATCTTAGTACCCAACTGTAAGCTATGCAAAATTCTTACACCCCACAGAAAACCTCTCACTTGGGCTAGGGATTTAGCTCAGTGGCGCCACGCCTGCCTGGCAAGTTCAAGGTCCTGAGTTCCATTCCCGGAACGAAAAAAAAAAAAAGAAGAAGAAGAAAGAAAACCCCCTAACTCAATTTATAAGTAATCAAAGATAAGTCAGTAAAGATGGCTCTTTATTACACACACGAAAGGGACAGTCAGCAGTAAATCTGAACCTGTTTTTAAAACTTAGAGGCAGTAGGAGAAGGTCAGAGGACCCAGAACTGTGATTTTGGGCTGCTTCCAAAAATAAACGTTAGTTTCTTATCTTTAATATATCCACCTACACTGCAGAACTGCAATGACTGAATAAGAAAATATATAAGTGTAAAAACATACTACTTAAGTATGAAAATTACATTAAATTAAATTTTGGACTATTCCATTTAAGAGACAGTCAAATTGTTCTTAATCATAATCTTCCTATTTATTGTTCTATTTGCATGCACACCTGCCCCTTTTAATCTCCTCTCCGCTAGAAGTCAGATGATTCCTTTTTCTTTCTTTTTCTAGTTTTGGGAAAAGGACCCAGGGCCTTGCACATGGTAGGTCAGTGCTCAGATTATTTCTTATGGAAATGTACTTCTGGTTCAAGACAAAACTGAATACACGCATTTACTTCTTGCTCTCCTTTCCTCCTAAAGCACACTGATTCTCACAGCACTGAAACAGAAACAATGGCATCACAGTGCAGACTTCTCAGGAAACTATGGACATTAAACTGAGGTAAAACTGTACCAACAGGAAGATGATCAGAATGCAGCAACTCAACATACCACAACATGGGAAGATCCTCCTATAATGTAAATAGGGCAATTTCCCTAATTCCCTTAAAAAAGTACCATGCCAGACATCTGAAGGGATAAAGGTGAGAGGAGGCACTAGGTTATTTGGAGGAACAATTAAAGGACAGCAGTAGTTATTTCTGTCTATCCTGTGGTCATAGCCATTGGCTAAGTATTCACTTAAAAGCTGTAACTATGGGATAGTGATGGCGAACCTTTTAGAGCTTTCAGTGATACAAATAACCCGCTGCAGCATGCATGCCATAGGTTCGCCACCACTACTATAGGAGGATCCCTACCTGCAACTCAGGCCAACTGGAAGATTGGGGGAGGGTGTGTGTGTGAAGGAGGGCCACAAACGGAGACGGGGCTGCAGACTACCTAAAAACAAATCATGGGGAATGATTCTAAACAAATGTAAACATTTCATGTTACCTGCCTCTGCACCTGTCCCTTTATACTCTCTACCTACAACTTATATTCCCAACTGAACAGATGATACACTACTAGTGAACAGGTCAGGAAGAGACAAATAGAAAATATACGGAAGAGCCTCCCTGGTGCCATTACAGCCCCCAACAGAGAAATGCTAACTAAAATGCTCAAGTCTTTTCATTACACATGAATAGAATTCACTATAAAGTTAAAAGTCTAATTGGAAAAAATATCAATTCATTCACTTATTAAACCATTATTTTTTAGCATCCTAAATAACTGCATGGAACATGTGTCATATAAATAATTTCTGTGATATAAAAGGAAAAGATAATAGATAAACGAGCAAAGACATTTCACAAAAGATAATCAGAATAAAAATCAAGAAACATAAGGTAACCAACCACGCTAAAGACAGAGAAACCAAATCAACAACGTCATTTTACCTATCAGATTGGTAAAGACAGAAGAAAACAATTAACCTAACCCAATGTTTGAAAAACACAGAAGAAATGAGCACTTCCAAATATATAGGCTAGCAATGTGTGTGTGTATGTATTTATTGTGCATACACATTTATTTTGTTTTGTTTAATGAGACAGGGTCAGGCTGGCCTCGAACTCTCAGGGATCCCCTTGCCTCAACTTCTTAACTGCTAAGATTACAGGTATGCACCACCACACCTGGCAGCACAGTATTTTAAAGAACAAATTGTCAGTGACAATGTAAATTCAAATTGTAAACCCTTTAACCCACTTCAACCAACCTGTCTTAAGAGAAATACTCTTATGTTTAAGATAATATGCTTACTGTGCCTCACAACTTTTAAAAAACTGCATTAAAATATAAAAAACAATGAAATAAATATATTCAAAGTGTACAAACTGATTCCATATACTATGCAACCAAAATCAAGTAAATAAATTGAATTTATTACTTTTATGTACCTCAATCCCTTCCCTCCCTCAACCTCAAATATTGATCTGTTTTTCTAACATTTTAGTTTGATTTTTTCCCTGCAGTTTTATATAAATGGAATCATATCATATAATTTTTATATCATATAATTTTTAATGTATTTTCTTCCACTTGACGTGACTGTTTTGATGTTAGTTTATCCTGTTACTTGTATTAAGTTCATTCCTTCTTATTGTTAGTATTCCATTATATATAGAATAAGGCATTTATCCATTTATCTGTAGGAGGACACTTGGGTTGTTTCTAGTTTCTGCCTTATTACAAAGCTGCTATGAACATCTGTACAAACCTTTATACAGACATTTATTTTGTGTACTCTGGCAAATATATAGAAATGGAAGTTATGGTAGGTATATGTTTAACTTTTGTTGTTGTTGTTGTTTTGGTGCCACAGATTGAACTCAGGTCCTTGTGCTTTCGAGGCAGGCGGTGGAACCACTGAGCTAAATCCTCGGCCATATGTTTAACTTTTTAAGAAGCTACCAAACAATTTCTCCAAGTGGTTATACAATTTTACATTCCACCAAAGCTTATGAGGGCTCTAGTCCCTCCACTTTCTCACCAACAATATTTGCTACAGTTAATATGATCTTTTTAATTTAGTCACATTATGAGGTGGCTCATATTGTGTCTCACTGGTTTTAACTTGACTTTCTCTAATGGCTAGTGGTATTATTAGCATCTTTTCACAAATGTATCTTTGTTTTTAATAGTGAGATATGAGAAATAAACCCAAGATTCACCAACAGAAGGAAAACTATGTCCAACAAAATGGAACACCATACAGCTTTAAAAGTGAGAACACTAAAAAGAACTGATATGGAAAAAAAAGTTCAAAAACAAAGACATAAAATTTTCAAGACAGTATTGACCAGGTGTATGTGTATGGTACAATCTAATTTTTTGTTACTCACTCTCCATCTCCCATGGGGAAGTGAACCCAGGGAGTGATGAGCTACTAGTCAGCCTGCTTTACTTTTTTATTTGGAGACAGAGTCTCACTGTAACAAGGTCTCACTACAATGAGCTGAGGTTTGCCTGGACCTTGTGATCTTCTTGCCTTAGCTTCTGGAGTAGCAGGAATAACAGGCATGCACCTGTATTTCCTGGCTTCTGTTACTTATTATTTATAAATTTGTATGTTTGCATGGAGGGATCTTAGATATACCAATTGGGATTTAGTTGTATAAAAGAAGAATGGGGTATTATAGATGCTCTCATTTTTCACTGACTGACTGCAGTGCTGGGGACTGAACCCAGGACCTTCAAACTAAGCCTTCCCCACCTCATGCGTTTGAGACAGCATCTTCTGTAGTCCATGCTGGGCTCCAACTTATGATCCTTCTGCCTTGCTCTTCCAGAGTGCTGGGATTACAGGGGCACATCACTACATCCAGCTGAGTTCTTAAGCCTCAATTTTAGCTTCATTATAATCCCATGGGACCACTGTTGTGGCCTAGTGTTAACTGTACCATTGTTTTTGGGCTTATGATTGCTTTTCTTACTATTTTAAAAATTTCTACTGCCTATTGATGTCATACCAACCACTGTGCATTGACTGCGTCACTCATGTATTTGTGATGTTGGCATGAACAAACCTATTATACAGTCATGTAAAAGAATAGCACAAAAGGGGCCGGGGATTTAGCTCAGTGGTTCCGCTGCCTGTCTCGAAAGCGCAAGGTCCTGAGTCTGATCCCCAGCACCAAAAAAAACCACAAAACAATAGCACAAAAAAATTTTTTTAAATAATACAGTATATATAATTATATACAGCACATAATACTTATAATGATTATGTTACTGGTTTATGTATGTATTTATACTTTTTATTGTTATTCTCCTAAGTATACTCCTTTTACTTCTAAAAAAAACAAAAGCAAAGCAAAGCAAAGCTGGGTATGGTGATGGACACCTGTAATCCCCACACTCTGTGGAGGCTGAAGCAAGAGGATCACCATGAGTTCAAAGCCAGCCTGGGTTACACCTTTAGTTCAAGACCAGACTGAACTGTACAGTGAAATCCTGTCTCCAAAGAAAAAAGTTTGCTATAAAAAGTTTACTGCTTGTGTTGCACTCAGAGCAACCTCATAAATCTCATGTTTACTGTTCAAGAGATCACTCTATAAATAGTTGACCTATACCACCTAGGTTTATGCAAGTAAACTGTATGATCATTACATAATGATGAAGTGACAAGAGGCAGCTTCTAGGCTGCCATACCACCTCTGCCATAACGAAGTAACAACAAGGCATTTCTAACAATGTCTTTGTTAAGTGGCATCATAAATGAGTATAACTCAAATAACCTGCCTTTAAATTTTATTTACC